TTATCATATTTCAGCGCTTGAGTTATTGTCTATCTTTAGTTTCCCCTTATCATATAATGAAAATTTCTTTCTTGGCCTCCTTTTCTCTGGAATTAATCAAACCGGTTAGCGTGGGGAACTTTGACCCGGAAAGCGGGGGCGGTAGCTCTGTTTTTACAAGGAAATTGCCTCCCTTTAGAGAAGGTGCCGGTGAAAAACAAACCCCCCCCCCCCCCCTTCCTTCTCCCTTCTTCTTCCGGGGGAAAAAACCCCCCCCCCCCCCCCCTTGATCCTTGGCCGAAAACTTTTTCTTCACCCCTCCCGTCAATTCTTGCCGTGACTGGCCCGGTTGTGACAGCGGAGAACTTGGTGCCAGATATTGCACGCTATATCGACATCTATATATCCGTATGTAAAACTGCCCTGCCAGCCCTCCGTCAGCCCTCCTTCTCGTCCATTGACTCCTCCTCGCTCGAATCTCTGCATGCCCCCGCGAGAGATAGTGGCAAACGTGCTCTGCTCTGGCCGTGCGTCTTGTGTGGTTGTTAAGAACAAGCTCCCCAGAACACATATCGCGAGTCAAAACACACACACACACACACACACATATATATATATCATAGGTTGGTCGTTTGGGTGAACTTCGTTTCGCAAGCCTATCTCTATGGTCACAACCAACCTGCTTTACCCCCTCCACGATTCGTCCGTAACAACTCCCTGCCTATTACGCCTGGAAAGATGGATAGCCATGACTCACCGGATTCCACCGACGATGATCTCTCGGGACCCGTCCCCAATCTCCTGTCAACCTCTTCCCTTCCTTCGCTCGAGTCTCAGCTCCCAACCCTGCATTCCGTCGGCGACAACCCCTCCCCTGCGATGCCCCGGTCGTCCACTCCGCTTGGCCACGTCAATGCTGCCCGAAAACCTCCCGTTCGTCCTCCCGTCCGTCCTCCCGGTGCCATCCCACGCTCGAGCGGTCTGAACCAGGACATCCAGGCGAAAATGAAGGCGTTTTCGCTCTCTCGACAAGGGGCGCCGCCCGGGTCGATCCCGTATTTGAACAGCAATATGCCCGGAGGAAGTCCCATCGTCGGTTCTGCAATCCAGGGGATTACTATGGTTGGTGGTCCGATCCCGGGAGGCATGGCCAGACTGCCATCCCATTCCTCCCCTGTGTGGCCGGCGCATTCTCCGGGATCACACCCCAATAGCCCTATAATACAACAAAAAATGGGCGGCTTAGCTGCAAAGAGAGGGCTTAATCGGGGCATGAAGCTGTCTGACGCTACCGGACCTCATCCCGGGGCAGCCAACCTGGGCCCTTTTGGAAGTTTTCCCGGTGCGTCAGCTGTTTCACAAGACGCTGGAGGCCCTCCTGAGACCCTGTTCTCCAAATACTCAGACTTCGTTGACACGAAGGCTGGGACTTTAAATTTCCGCAACAAGGCTATTATCCACAGTGGCGGCATCGACTTCACCTCCGGAAGCAGCTTCAGCATCTCGTTGGATGAAGTTGACACCCTTGAGGAATTGGGCAAGGGCAACTACGGTACCGTCTACAAGGTTCGACACTGTCGTCCGCATTTGCGAAGACCGGGCGTGGGATTACGTGGCACCCTTACAAGGCAACAGTCGTCGTCTCAAACAACGACACCGCTCTTCAATGACGCAAAATGCAACACATCCAACGTCATCATGGCCATGAAGGAGATCCGCCTCGAACTGGACGAAGCAAAATTCACCGCCATTATTATGGAGTTGGACATCCTGCACCGTTGTGTATCACCGTTCATCATCGATTTCTACGGTGCATTCTTCCAGGAGGGCGCTGTGTACATTTGTGTGGAATACATGGACGGTGGGTCCGTTGAAAAAGTTTATGGCGACGGAATCCCCGAGAATATCCTCCGAAAGATCATTTTATCCACTATCATGGGTTTGAAATCTCTGAAGGATGAACACAACATTATCCACCGCGACGTCAAACCGACCAATATCCTAATCAACACGCGTGGGCAGATCAAGATTTGTGATTTTGGCGTCAGTGGGAATCTGGTGGCTAGTATCGCGAAAACCAACATCGGCTGCCAGAGTTACATGGCTCCGGAGCGGATTTCTGGTGGTGGCGCCACTCCCGGTGGCGGCACATATAGTGTTCAGAGCGACATATGGAGCCTGGGTCTGACAGTGGTCGAATGCGCCATGGGCCGGTATCCCTACCCTCCCGAGACGTTCAACAACATTTTCAGCCAATTGAACGTAAGTATATTATTTTTTTTGCAACTGGAAATATCACAGCAGTGTGGCCCCAGTTATAATATATATAGAGATATATATATAGATATTCGCTTGAAAAATTCAGATGACTAACAATACATTCTTTCTCCTTCCTGCAGGCCATCGTCCACGGCGACCCACCCGAACTGCCCGAAGAAGGCTACTCGGCCGAGGCCAAGGATTTCGTCCAAGGCTGTCTGAACAAAATCGCCGCACTGAGACCCAGCTACGACCTCCTCCTCCTCCACCCCTGGCTATCATCCCTTATACAACTACCTTATTACCACCACCCCTCCCGCCGCCACCGGACGACCGACGGAGACAACAGCGCCGATGGTGTCGGCATGGACATGGACATTGACATGGACATGGACATCGGCATCGGCGCCAACGTCGACCCCTCCAAATGCACCTCGACACCCCTCGAAACGGCCGATGGGGAAGTCGCTGCGTGGGTCATTGATGCGCTGGACAGGCGTGCGCGGGGGGTCATGGGCAAGCTGGAGCGGCCGGCGCTGCATGCCGTGGCGCTCGATGCGGTTCCGGGGAGTCCGTTGCTGGAGCATTCGTCGGCGCCGTCGCGTAATTAATTAGTGTAGGTGGATGGGATGGGATTTGGGGGGGGGGGATGTCTGATGGTTGAATTCATATGGATTGTGCGGGGTTAGAGGAATGGGCTAGTGGCTGGGGATTATGATTATGAGTCAAGAATGGGATGGAATTGGGTAAATGCTCGATTCGAAGGGGTTTATTTTCGCATCGCATGGATGCAAGGAGAACGACACAATGGCGTAAGTGGGGATGGAGGCTGGGTTTTGTGGTGAGCAGCTCAGGCGATGGTGAGAACATTCCAAGCGAGAGAGAAAGGGGGAAGCATGAAACTGCGCTGGCGCGGGATGAATGAATGGACGAATTGTTTTCCTTTCTTTTTTTTTTTTTTTTTTTTTTTCCTTTCTTTTTCCTTTCTTTTTCTTTTTTCTTTCTTCCTTTTTCATTTTGTTCTTTTCAATCTTGCCTGAGGGATTTGGGATACTCCATGGAGCTAGCGATCGTGCATTTATCTACCGGCAACATCTTGGTGGCATTTTCTCATTCTCTTCCCCCTTCTTCGTTTTCCTTTTTCTTTTGTTCTTATTTTTCTTTCTTCCCCGTCTACTTTGTTGATATCAGCCGGCGGACCGTTTTGGTCGCCCACGTTTTAACACTTAGTATACGTATCTTCTTTATAGGACACTTCCCAGGTAAAGCCCTATAAATACTCGCTATACAATGTTAAGTTTCGGAGTCTTTTAAAAACATCCATATTTGACACTTTGAAGTGGGTGTCCTCCACACTTCGTTATGTCTCATTTGTCCTCAAATGATAACAATCTCTGCTCTCAAATTCTTTCACACATGTTTCTATTTTTATCGTTTCTTCTTCTGCTTCTGTACAGTTAGTTTTATATACACATCCTGATTTTCCGCCCGCTCGGAGCGCTGACTAATTGTTGGCCTGTGGCTTAGTCACTGTCAATTGACCGAACTGACTTTGACTGACTAAACCAGCTACCCGCATTTTTCCCAGCCACTTTTTCGACTTTGTTGTGAAATTCTGCTCCTTTCTCTCTCGAGACAATTAACTAATTCGCCAATTGAGTATTTAGGAAGGCAAAATAGCGACCAGGAAGAGGAATTGGGCGGAGTCCCGAGTTTGTTGGCAACTGTACACTATTCCAGTGCTCCTTGTACTTCCTCCATCCGCTGTATTGATAATCTAACACAAATAACAACTTAATCCTGCCCCACCATCTAGACTAATAGATGTTACTCCTATATCAAGGGAATGCCCCCTCTCCGCCCTTTTTGCAGACTCTATTCTTCTTCGTCCTGTCGCTGTTCTTCTCTTCATCTCTCCAACGTTAGACCCATACAGTTCCCTACAACAGCAGCAATCCCCTGCGCAGTCATACCCCTGGCTATCTCCTCCTGCAATCCTCCCAATCGCCGCCACCACCACCACCACCACCACCACCACCACCTCTCACAGTCGAAGCTGGCTCCCACTGCCTCCACTAGAACTTTCATTCCGACCAATCTACGGCTTCATTCCCTCTCCGCACAGTTTTCCCACTCGTCTCCCTCTTCCCGCTCTGCCGCATCCACCGATTTAGATTTGTCTGTAACCATGGCCCCCCTCGACGAAGTAAAGAAATATGACTACATCGTCATTGGCGGTGGCAGCGGAGGCAGCGGTGCTGCCAGGAGGGCATCGGGATGGTACAAGGCCAAAACGCTCATTATCGAGAATGGACGGTCTGGTGGTTGCTGTGTTAATGTCGGGTGCGTATTTCAACATCATTATCTCGAGAACAAAAAGAGCAAAACCCAAAATCTGATGCAACCCGTTCTACTTCACCATCCAGCTGCGTCCCCAAAAAGATGACCTGGAATTTCTCCTCCATCGCCGAAACACTCCGCGATGGTGTCCACTATGGCTACGACATCCCCCAAAACCTGGCCTTCGACTTCTCTGTCTTCAAACGCAAGCGTGACGCCGTCATCGAGCGCCTCAATGGCATCTACGAGCGCAACTGGAACCGCGAGGGCATCGACCTCGTCCACGGCACCGCCCGCTTCACTGGCCAGAAGGAGGTTGAGGTCCAGTTGCAGGACGGCAGTGGGGAAAGAGTCCGCTACACGGCTCCGCACATCCTGATTGCGACGGGCAGTTACGCTCTTTTCCCCGATGATGTCCCCGGCGCACACCATGGCATTACCAGTGACGGGTTCTTTGATCTCGAGGTCCTTCCGCCCAAGATCGCTGTGGTTGGCGCGGGCTAT